GACTGGCTTTCTGTGACAGCAGGGAAGACACAGAAGCACACAGTGGAGCCCCTCAAGACAGGAGAGAAATCTGAGAGGCAAATCTGTATCACCTATTATAACACTGCGGAATAACCACTCGGGACATCAGTTTAAAACAGTTGCCACCTCCTTATCTCATTAGTGGGGCTAGAATTTTCTGCAAACCTGTGCTGGTGTAGAGATGACCTTGGGACTTTCAGATTCCCCGAGTGTAACTCAGGCAAAGCTTCTAAACACCAGGGTGGGGTGCTCTAGCAGGCCTGCTCCAAGCCCCAGGAGCTGCAGCGTGGCCCAGAATGATAAGCAGCCAGCCAGAGAAGAGGAGAGCAAAGGGCTAAAGGTTGATCTGCAGCAAGGAACTTTTTGATTGTTTAATTTTTTTGACCATGGCATATTCAAATGTCCATTTCACTTATGTTCAACAGGTTCACACAGCCCACTGTAAACATGAGCGTGAGTGTGTATATACATTTATATGTACAAATACGTATACCTACGTAGCTTCCATAAAAGCCAGGATCCCTACCCCTTCAGTACTCTATGTGAAACTCCTTAAAATGTTTACTTTAGCTTCTTTTTTTCAGTTAACCACCTAAGAAGATTTTTTTTAAAGGGAAAAATAGCATAGAATTAATTAGTAACTCTGCAAAGCTGCAGCTCTTTGCAAAGTGACAAAAAGACAGTGATGCAGACATGAATGAGTTTTAAGAACTGAAGTTTGCTGCTACCGGGAGTTACTTAGAGAAACAAAGCTGCCTTTGGGCACCTCAAACTAGTCAGACCTGCTGTAGCAGTTGCACAGTCAGCTCCAGATCTGTCCTCGCTCTCCTCCCGCCAGCCCCCACCCCACGCATCCGCATAGCTCAGTCCACTCTCCACTGGGGCGGTGCCTGTCAGGCTCACCCCTCGGCCTGCCGCCCCTGTGAGAGGCAGAGCCAGCTCTGGCCAGACAGCGTGCAAGTGTAAGAGGAGGACCCAGATGCCGACTCCATGCTGAACTGAAACCGCAATGTCTGCACCCAGTTTAGGTGACCCGGGGTCTCTAAAACAGATCAATCAAACAGCGGGGTTTGCTTCAGTGAATCCTGGAAGCTTCTTTCCAATCGAGCTGGGGTGAGGGACTGAGAATCCTCAGAAGAGACAGATGGGTCTCTCCAGCTTTATGAACCCTCAGACCATAGAGAGAGCAACATTTCCAAAAGGGAGTTTGCCTCGTCTGCATGTGGTCTGCTTGTGGAAATTGTAAGTAGCTGTTTCATCCTGTCAGAAATCATAGGGACCAGCAGTTAGCGTAATGGCTATGTCGCTGAACTCCCATGTAGTCGACTGTGGTTTGAGTCCTGAACCTGGTGGCTTAAACTCACGCCAGGCGCATGTGCGTGCGTGCCCAAGATCCCGAGAGGAGAACAGAGGAGAAGGGACTGCGGAGTGGCCATCCTCCCTGGGGGTGATTTCTTGCTGTTTCTCTCTCTCTCTCTTTCTGGTGAGTGCATGCACCCTATAGCAAAAACCTCTCCAAAAATAAAAATAAAAAAGAAATCATAAGCGTAGTTTAAAAGATATGATGATTTTATTTTGAATTTTAAATTTGTATTTCAAAGAACATCTTTAGATAGCCAAGCATGTTTTGTTTGTCTCATGATCTCTGGGGGGAAGGGGGGGAACAAGGCATCTATTTATTACCCAGAATAGGAATGTCGTCTTATTGGGCTGACATATGCCATTCACAGATTCATACAAAGAATGAACTGCCACGCAGTGCTAATGGAGAAAGACACTGCCCCACACAATGAGTGATGGACGCTCCGGGGGACAGCCCTGTTCATGAGGGCTTCCCAGCATCTGCACACAGGGCAGAAGCTGCCCTCTACTACCAACTGCATGGCCATTGGAGACTAGACTTCTTTAAAATGACACTCCAACGTTGGTCAGCAGCTGTTTCCTTCAAGAATATTAAAACTGAATGAAATATCCACACACTTCTTAGGAGTCTTCTCTTGTGGGTGTCTACCAGTGATTTAAAGAGTACTCATGGTAGGTAGGAAAGACAAAATGTGTGTATCTGCAGTGGCCATGGCACTTTTAGGTTTCCATGTTCTGCTCGTCAGTATTAATGAATGGAAGTATCTATAAGACCCGAGGTTACCCCAACTGTGAGGCCACTGTCATTTCAACTGGAGCTTGCCCTCTGGTGCCTTTAGCCTACACACCTGATCTTTGGACCCAGTGATCAGAGACGGCTCTCTTGCTCATTTTCATTCTCTCTCTGGCCAAGAAACTACTGCAACTAGAACCACCTATACAGTGTACCATGACAGTAAAGACAAAATTTCTGTGGCCATAAAGCATTAAAAATTCTACACAGAAGTTCACACTCCTAAATACCATATTTATCTATGATTTATATATACATTTTTAAATCCTATATACAAAATTGACAAAGTAGTCTCCACTCTTCTGATAAACGTGAAGTAACCAATAAGGCCTCATTCTTCACCTGTGGTCTTTAACAAGACACCATAGCAAAAGAAACCTCTAGAAGTTTTTGTCCTAGCGTTTACCTTTCTTAGTTACTAAGTGTAAACTATTTTGACTGACGTTACTTGTAAAATTGGATACTGATAATCTGTAGTATGCTACTTTGTTTATGGATAGAACCGATTTTTATCTATTTGCATTTAAACACCAACAACCTCCCCTCATACCTTTTTTAAGTTTCCCTGGTGTATGTGCGTGCGTGAGAGGTGTGCACATACACATCTTTCTAAAGCAGTGTTGTAACTTGTATTCTGCCATTGGAGAGCTGTTTAAAATAGCAGATGCCATAAGCTATCAGTTGCCACACACATTTGAATGAGTTTTAAAATATTAAAATATACGCTATTTTACTATTCTCATTATTAATAATTCATCATGTAGCAACTGGGTGAAACTTAAATTTCGGCTTCTCAATGAAATAAAAAGCCTTAGAGGGGGATAACTGAGCACACAGGACTATAAAGATTTTCTAAATCTGAGTTAATGTCCTTCTCTTAGTTCTTTAAGGGACACAAGCCTGCGCAGCTGTCCCCTAAGACACTGTGGCCCTCGCCTGACATTTTATTGTTTTATCTGTTCCTAGGACACCTCCAGTCCGGGGCTTGGCTGGCACTGTAAAACGTGAGTCCTCTCCTACCTGCAGTAGTGAAGGAAGGGGGGAGGGGTTCAAAAAACCAACAAGAAAAAAAAGCTGTCAAATCCACTTCATAAGATGTCTCACCTGGGAGCCACACACGTTCTATGCACATTTTAATTGGCAGGATGTGGAAGAAGTAAAAATTATTTTCAGGAGTTCTAAGCTTGATGAACAACATAAACTATTTTATATATTTTATAGTAACATAAAGCACCTCTAAGTCAGTCAAAGAAGCTAAAGGCACACTTTTAAGCAACTCTTCTTTTTTAAGATGAAGAAATGGATAAAAGGAAGTGAGCAGAGATCCCCCAAACAAGTCTATTACTGCCCATGCAGTAGTTAGGATCTTAGGTTGGGTATTTTCATCCTCACAGCACAGCCCAACACACTGAAATCAGAAGAGCCTGCTATAAAAAGGGGCAGAATGGAGCTGCCAGGGTGAGACCAGCCTTCTGGTGAGCCATTGGCCACCGCCACCTCCCCACCCCCATCGGCAAAACAGCCAAGGGGCTCTCAGGTGGGCTGCCCTCCAGGGGTCGAGTGGAGCCAAAGCCCACTTCACTCCTGTTAGGGACTCGTCCCTAATTACAAAAAGGTACTTGGAACTCTTCGGGCCTCGGTGACTACAACTTCTAGGGCTCTTTACACACATTGTGGACATTTCTTAATATACATTGGGAAATCAAAAGGCATATTTCCTGAACAAAGCTTGAAAACATTCACCCTCTTCCTTAAGACCAACCTCTGCCCCATTCGGTTCAAATAAAAACTGCAGTAGTGCGAGGCTGGAGGCTGGACGGGCCACCCTGCAGACTACCCTCCCAATTCCGTGCCTGTAAGAACTTACTTGCTACCTCCGGAAACATCCTGAAACTACCCGGCTTGCGAGCAAAGAGTCATTCTAAGAGAAACTACGTCTGATCTTTTAGTGAAACTAAAAACTAAACCTGAAGGTCTACTCCCATCTCAAATCTATGACTACCACTTCTTCTAAAAGGACGATAACTTTGGGCCGGGGGCAGAGGAGAACAATTGACGGGTTTCTCTCCAGGCAATGGCCCTCTGACGGCACTCGGGTCTTAATGGTACAAAGTCTAGGGCTTGGGACAGCTGGCTCCCCGCAGCCCCCTCCCGTTCAGTCCTGGGCGGGTACACGAAGATGACTGGGAGATCTCGAACTTAAAACCAACGAGACGCTAAGTTTAACACACATCGAGGTCCGAATCAATTCACTTGGTCCCAGACGAAGAGAGGGTGGAGAGCGAGGACGTTAACGTGAAAACACCAGGGAACTCACAAAACCACGGTAGTAAGTTGGATGCAAACCCGGCCACGGAACTCTCGAGTGAGGCAGCCTTGGCGTCAGCAATCGGAGCCCTGAGAAAGTCTCGCACGTTCACAACAACACGACCGCCACCACACGCACACAGCCCAGCTGCGAGCCGCGACAGTCCCCGGCTCCCTCCGCCCCCCCGCTCGGCGATCGTAGGCTCCCGACCCCCTTCCCCCTCCCGACCCCGGTCCGCGCCGGGCCGGCCGCGGCCCTTCCCCCAGCAATCTGCCGCCCACGCCGGGGGTCGCGGCCCTCGTCCCCGGGGGTCGCAGGGCGCGGGGCCGGGGGGCGGCGCGGGGGAGCCCTGCCTCTACCTGCCCCAGCTCTGGTCCCTCCGGCGGAGGCGCCCGGCCCTCCTCCGCCCTCCGGGCTTTCCCGGCCCTGGCCGGGTCCCAACACCACCCCCCAGCCACCGGGAGCCCGGCGCACCGGAGGATCTCCTCCAGCTCGGCGCCGGGAGCGAGAACTTACCACATGCAGCTCCACCTGGGAACTAACGCATCAGGAGGGGTTTCCGCCCACTCCTCAAGCTATTCCCGCTCCATGCGGAGTGCCCCGCTCCGGGGGCCCGGCACTGGGGAGGGGCAGGGGGCGAGACCCGAGCTAAGCCTCCGCCGTCCTCTGCCTGCGCGCCCGGAGCATTATACAATGGTGGCGGGGGGGGGGGCGCCCT